TTTTAGACAGAGTCTAATTCTGTCACCCGTGCTGCAGTGCAGTGGTACAATCTTGGCTCACTGCAACCTCCGCCACCTGGGTTTAAGTGATTCTTGTGCCTCAGCCTCCCGAGTATCAGGGACTGCAGGTGCCCACCACCACATCCAGCTAATTTTTGTATTTTTAGTAGAGATGGGATTTCACCGCATTGGCCAGGCTGGTCTTGAACTCCTGGGCTCAAGTGATTCGCCCACCTCAGCCTCCCAAAGTGCTGAGATTATAGGCGTGACCAGTGCACCCAGCCTAAGAAGGTACATTTAAGTATGTGGCACCCATTAAGTGAATGCTGAGTAAAAGTTGATTCCCCATCACACAGTGTGATGGTTGAGAGTTCAGGCCTAGGACTCAGACCCTGGCTCTGCCACTCAGTAGTGGGGCAGTTTTGAACAAGTTACCATACCTTTCTAAGTGCTAATTGCCTCATCTGCTAAGTTGAGGAAAGAGTATCTGCCTCATAGTATGAAGATTAAAAGAAGAATGCAGGCTCTTCAGTGTTTTGCATACCTAGATACCAGGTCTAGGGGAAATGATCACTTCCGTGTAAGATAGTAAGTGCTATGATAGAGGCATTTGGGGAGTAGTGTTGAGGCAGCTTTTAGAAATACCTTACATGGGCTGGGCACGGTGTCTCATGCCTCTAATGCCAGCACTTTGGGAGTCTGAGGTGGGCAGATCACCTGAGGTCAGGAGTTGGAGACCAGCTTGGTCAATATAGCGAAACCCTGTCTGTACTAAAAATTCAAAAAATTAGCCATGTGTGTGGTGGGTGCTTGTTATCTCAGCTACTAAGGAGGCTAAGGCAGGAGAATCGCTTGAACCCAGGAGGAGAAGGTTGCAGTGAGCCAAGATCACGCCATTTCACACTCTAGCCTGGGCAATAAGAGCGAAACTCTGCCAAAAAAAAAAAAAAAAAATACCTGACAGGGTCTGGAGATGGATTTCTGGAGGAGGGGTTGACTTGAGCATTGCCTGAAGCATGAGTAAGAATTAACCACGAGAACAGGAGAGAAGCTGGGTTTGGGAAGAAGAAAGAGCTACAAAGAGCAAAGCCATGGAGATGTGAAACCTCAGGGTTTTGTGAGGAACAGTAAGTCCTTGGTGTCACTGGGAATACAGAGCAAGGCACGGAGGGGTGCGATGTGGCTGGGGAGACCTGGGCTGTTCGTTTGCCTTGTTGAGGAACTTGGGGTTTGTCCAGAAGGCAGTGGGGAGACTAGGTTATAGGTTGTACTGACAATAATGAGCAGGTCATAATCATGTTTTTAAAAAGATTACAGTGGATTTTGTATAAGTGATGGACTTGAGGGAAGCTGGGAAATTGACAAGGAGACAAGTCCAGATGTGCAATGATAATAAACTGAAAGTGGCAACTGAGGGAGAAGAGAAGATGGATTGCAGAAACATTTAAGAGGTGAAATGAGCAGGACTCAGTAATTGAATTGGGTATAAAGAGAGAGAAGAACCAAGGCAGACTCCCACATGTTAGCCTGTGTGTCTGGGTTGGCAGGAGCTGTGCCAGCCTCCAGTGAGCGCGTATGTACAGGAAGTAGAGCCAGTCCAGGAGATGATGTGAATTTGGAGATGCTGAATTTGAGATCCCTATTGGATGACCTGTATTACATTTGAATGTTAACTGCATATATTTACCCTTAAGAGGAATAGACACAACTGAGGCTGATTTAACAAGATTTAGTTAAAATAGAAAGCTTTCCAAAGACAGTAGGAAGCCACGTGATATATGTGGAGCCTTCCCTGCTTCTTGCTTTATTTTCCTGCCCTGGTGGTTAGAACTGTAAATAGATGAGCTAGATGAGTTTATCTCGAGAGGCTATGGCATAGGATTGTGGGGCCAAGGATGAGATTCTGGGTCACAGTAGTGCCTAAGGGGCTTTGCTCATAGAAAGGAAACTAAAAGCATTGCTGGGCCATCAGATTCATCAGACTTAACAGTGCTGCGGGTGATGTCTAGGACCATTCTTTTCCAGGCCCAGTGCTAAACGACGGTATAAAAACCAGAAGTTTGGTTTTGGTGGAAAGAAGAAAGGCTCAAAGTGGAACACTCGGGAGAGCTATGATGATGTATCTAGCTTCCGGGCCAAGACGGCCCATGGCAGAGGCCTCAAGAGGCCTGGCAAGAAAGGATCAAATGTAAGTGAGCCCAGGTGCCTGGGTGAGGAGCAGGCTCAGCCTCCCCGTCCCACTTCCAGCCCTCCCCCTCCCTTCTCTTCTGTTCATCCTCACCCTCAGGCAGAAGGCAAGCTGCTGTGTGACCAGATGTGGTATTTCTTTTTCTGTAGAAGAGACCTGGAAAACGAACAAGAGAGAAGATGAAGAACAGAACGCACTGAACAGCATCTTTGAATACAAAGAACCAAGAAAAAGGAATGAAGACTTTGCAATTTCACAACACACTTTCATCCCTTCTGTTGGTATCATATTGTAAACATTTCTTTCAATAAACTAAAAAAAAATATTAAATGAACACATGTGTTTGGTAAAATAGTCCAGACTAAAAGATTTAGAAGTTACTTTGCATATTAAATGACACTGCTATCTATTTAGACATTGAGTTCAAATTGCCTTCATTTTATGATAAATGATGAGTTAACTGACACCTCCCTCATTTCCTTTGCCTCATCCTTCTAAATAGTTATATTACAATCAGTCCCTGTAGAGCTCAATACATTGTGGAAAGATTTCCTTTGTGGTACAGCTTTTGGTTTTTCCTCCAGTTAACCTTCACCTTGCATTCTTCTGCTTGCCTAATCTTCCTTCTATATTCTTATATTCTCCGTTCTTTCCAGATGCTTTGTCATTTTACCCACTGTATAATTTTTCTCCTATAACCTAGATATGCCACACAACTGTCACCTTTTTTCTAGACCTTCTAAGTTGGCATCATTATTTCCAGAATCCCATATTTTCCCATCTTGGCATATGCCTTCTTTTTCTGTGTACCATTTTTTAGTATCTTACTAAGAAAGGGAAGATGAGAGGTAAACTTTTTATCTCCTTGCATTTCTGAAATTGCCTTTAATTTGGCTGATAGGAATTTCCTCCTTAGAATTTTGCAGGCACTGTTTCTAAGTTTTTATCAGTTCTACTTTGGGGGAGAGAGATTTCTTTGTTTTTTAAAATCTTTTTTTTTTTTTTAATTTTATTTTATTGGAGACATAGTCTTACTCCATCGTCCAGGCTGGAATACAGTGACACAATCTTGGCTCGCTAGAACCTCCACTTCCTGGGTTCAAGTGATTCTGCCTCAGCCTCTTGAGTAGCTGGGATTACAGGCATGTGCCACCGTGCCCGGCTAATTTTTGTATTTTTAGTAGCGACAGGGTTTCGCCATGTTGGCCAGGCTTGTCTTGAACTTCTGAGCTCAACTGATCCACCTGCCTCTGCCTCCCAAAGTGCTGGGATTACAGGTATGAGCCACTGTGCCCAGCCTGCAGTCATTTTATTGAATATATATTTTAGCTTTCATTTATCCCCCAGGAGTTCCTTATTCTCTAATTGGTCATTTTTCCTATTTTACTTATTGTCCAGATGCAGTATCTTATATCTCTTAGGATATGATTACAGTTTTAATTTTTTGATAAAGTTTCCCTCTGTTTCTGCAGCCCATGCATTTTGATCTCCCCTTTCCCATGTTTGAACAGTAGAGTATTGTAAAAGTTAAGAAGCGTGGATTCTGGGGCCTGGCTCTGTTGCTTACTTGCTGTTTGACCGTAGGGATTTTAATATTTATTTGCTTTGTCATCTCTGGCATAATGTATCTACTTCATTGGGTTTCCATTAGCATTAAGTGAATCAATGTAAGACACTTAGAACATTGCCTGCCATATAATTAGAACATAACATGGTCTAATAATCTTATAATCCTCTCATATTCCTTTGATTAGGGTTATCTTGCTGGGGTTTCTTAATATCTGGCGAGCCTTGGTTGTTCCTATTTGAGAAGTACCAGCATTGGCGAAAGCTCTGCATAGGTGTTACGTTGTGTAGGCAGGCCATATTAATTGTTGGGCTTTACTCTGTGTTGATAGGGTGGTAAGCCATTTTACCTGCCCATTCTCTCTCCATTCCAGTTTAGAAACCATACTTTATTTTTAAGGTAGTTAGAAATCCCTGAGAGCCATATAGTATCTTAAGCAGAAAGGACAACTTAGTTTCACATTTTCTTCTTGTAGCATTATTGGCACATAAAAAGGATATTTCTGGATTCATATGCTAAGATTGTGATGTAGAACAAAGAGAATAACATGTTATTCATTTCGCACACTCACAGCAAAGTGTGTAGTTGCGTGGCTTTTTTGTCTTTAGCAATAAACTGATAGGCATTTTACAGAAGTAGATACCCGAGAGGGAATTGACCGCCAAGGATGAATATATACCAAAGAAACAAAATGATAGGGCACAGTGGCTCACGCTTGTAATCCCAGCACTTTGGGAGGCCAGTTAAGCCCAGGAGTTTGAGACCAGCCTAGGCAGCACAGTGAAATCTCTCTACTAAAACTTTATAAAACTTGGCTGGGCGTTGGTGGTACACGCTTGTAGTCCAAGCTACTGGGGAGGCTGAGGTGGGAGAATCTCTTGAGCATGGGAGTTTGAGGCTGCAATGAGCCACGTTTGGCTCTGCGCTCCAGCCTGGGTGATAGAGTGAGAACCTGTCTTAAAAAAAAAAAAAATTTTTTTTTAAATTGTAAGGCAGGAAGTAAAATTTGAGTGCAATGGAAATGGAATTGTAGGTGAAATAGCTGATGTTGGACTGTGAATGCTGTTGCCATTCTAGAGACTAGATATGTAGCCAGGTAAACCTTGTGTAGGCAAACTTACAAATGAGGAAAGAGATGGAAAGGATGAAGATGTCTCCAGGGAGTGACACTAATGAAAAACTTCACATTAAAAGGACTCTTGGAGATGTCTAATGACATTGAAAGATCAAGTGATAAAATGCTGAAACCGAATCCAAACTTAGAAAGGAGTAAAGACAATTTGCCAAGGAATAGAAAAGATGCTTGTTCTATATCATAAGTTAGAGAAGGAGAAAAAGAAGCATGTTTTTTCATTCAGAAATAAAACACTTGATTCTCAATGTTTCTACTGTTTTAGTCTACTAAATATTAGTATTTTTTGTTATGCATTGAACAGGGTTTTTAATACTTTCACACAATTTTTTTCGTTGTTCAGTTTTTGTTTCTAAGGCTTAAAGATTCCTCTTTAAAAGGACTTTTGGACATGTTGTTTTTTAAAGGTCACAGAACAATTGTAATTTTCCCCCAACGATTATTAAGGTCACTTTGCATAGTTTCAGCAAGCAGGACATTTTTGTGGTCCTGCACCACTGTGCAAAGTGAAGACTGACTACATACACTTTTTTAGATGAGTGTACAAAGTAACAGCTTTCTCTTTTTTGGGCAGAGTTGCGAAGAAGATGAAAGCAGAAAATGAGGTTGCTCGCTTTGCAGGAGCAGGGCTGCAGAAGCATATTGATTGCTTTCAGAGCACAACCTTGTGATGAAAACATTCAGGCATTTAATCTATTTTATAATTTATTCCAGATCATAAAACTAGACTCCCTTTCTGCATATCAACGAATCCACTTTTTAAAAAAAAAAAAATTATTTTTATTTTTTATTTTTTTTAAAGACAGGGTTTCACCATGTTGGTCAGGCTGGTCTTGAGGCAGGTGATCCACCCGCCTTGGCCTCCAAAGTGCTTGGATTACAGGCGTGAGCCACCATGCCCGGCCTCAACGAATCCACTTTTTATGCTGTTGTGAAAATTTATTCATTGTGATGAATTCAAGTATAATTATAATAGGTACTTTTTTCACATTGAAGACTAGATGTAAAATAATGGTCCAGAATCTTTTGGTATAAGATGGTTTTTTGTTTGTTTGTTTTTTATTTTTTGAGATGGAGTTTCACTCTGTCACCCGGGCTGGAGTGCAATGGTGCAATCTCTGCTCACTGCAATTCCTCCTTGATTCAAGTGATTCTCCTGCCTCAGCCTCCCAAGTAGCTGGGATTATAGGCGTGTGCCACTACGCCCAGCTAACTTTTGTAATTTTAGTAGAGATGGGGTTTCACCATGTTGGCCAGACTGTTCTTGAAGTCCTGACCTCAGGTGATCCACTCGCCTTGGCCTCCCAAAGTGCTGGGATTACAGGTGTGAGCTACCGTGCCTGGTCTAAGATGTTTAATTGGAAGTCATTGGACCTCAACTGCACACATGTAAACTAACTCTTCTGGCCAATCAGAAATTATATCTGATCATTATCCTGTATATTACTTACACATTGCTGGTTGAATTACTCTCAGTACTAGATATACAGTTTTGTTGCAGATGATAGTAGCTACGATGACACCAGAGAAAAGTCTCTTTTTAGTCCAACAAAAATTTTAAAACAACATTGAAAACAAGCAGAATGGATACATAAGAATTATGCATCTGCTTATGGAAAGGCAATTTCCAACTGATGTGTAAAAGGAAGATGAACCTGTTCTATTCTGACATAAAAATGATGCACAGTATTTCACTTGCATTTTAAAAAACAGAATCAAGATTATATGCAGCATTTACAAGTATCTTACCTTGTATCACAATGCAGGATTTCACTGCTCCCCACCAATGTACTCTGAATTTCTGTATCTGGGCTTCTGTGATATAAAATGGGGTGAATTTGCTGAGACTTGCCCTCAGGGTTTCCATCCTTAACCAAACCGTATTATATATTGGAGGGTCCATGGCCTTTCTTCGAAAAACAAAGAATTAAAATAAACATCAAGATCCCAAGACAAAATATACCTAACTCTTTTTAAATAATGAGCAATGATTTCTTGTCATTAGAGGCATTCTCCCTCACTCAGAAATAAGAGATCTTTAATTAATTTATTTATTTATTCATTTATTTTTAGACAGAGTCTTGCTCTGTTGCCAGGCCAGACTACAGTGGCACAGTCTTGGCTCACTGCAATCTCCGCCTCCCAGGTTCAAGTGATTCCCCTGGCTCAGCCTCCTGAGTAGCTGGGACTAGAGGCATGCACCACCGCACCTGGCTATCTTTTTTTGTATTTTAGTAGAAATGGGGTTTCACCATGTTGGCCAGGATGCTCTCGATTTCCTGACCTTGAGATCCACCTGCCTCAGCCTTCTAAAGTTCTGGGATTATAGGTGTGGGCCACAGCGCCCAGCCAGGAATAAGGGATCTTCAACAGTTTCTTCTTTATCCACCCAGGTCAAAGAAAAAGCCAAAGGGATCACTAGAGATTAAAATTTAGACATTAACTTTTCGTTTCTCTAAGTTTTTAGTTTTTAAAAAATGCCAAAATGCTCATGTTCTGGTTTCCTATGGTTTAAATAGCAATGTAGGATGACAACATTGGCTTCTGCAGTTTTACAAAGATAAGAACTCTCTTGGCATACAGAATGGCCAACAAAGGATCTAGCTTGATGGCAGCTGGGAAGAAGTCTCA